CAGCATTTCATCGAAGGGCTGTGCTGGAGTGAGGAGGGAGTTGTTTTCCTGCCCTTTCCATCCATAGAGAAGGGAAAACTTTGCACCCAGGTTGGAGTTAGACAAGGTGAAGCAATGAGCCTTTTCTGAGCTCTGGTGCTGCATTTCTGTGACACTGTCTTTTGACAATTTACAGCCAGTACTGTGGTGCCACAGCTGATGCACTTGGACAACAGGGCCAGTGATCTCAGATGTTCAAGAGCCCCAGCTCTTCTCCACTTATTAAAGGGAGCCTAGAGAGATTAGGCTACAAATGGAGATGCCTTAATTAATTTTCTATCAATTAGACAGCATGAATCTGACCCTTAATATCCTTCTAGATACACTGAATTAGTGCTAACTTGAACTCAAACTCAGGTCTGGAAGAGCCCTTCTCAGCTGTTAATTCTCTGGGAACCATGCTGAGCCCCAAAAAATATCCAGGGCTGTTTATCTGTCTTGCCCCAAGACACACAGACCAGCAGAACTCCTTCCCAGCCTTGCAGCAAACACAGATCCTTGAGAGACATTGGTGGGTTTTGTTCTGTTACAAGTAATAAACCACAGATGGAGAAACCACCAGTGGCATTTGAGTCCTGTAGCCCTGTACCAGCAGGAGAGAAGTGAAAGGGCGTAGCCCAGCTTAAAAATTGCATTGTATCCTCAGACTGGAACAAAAAACAGGGGAAGAACTCCTCCATGGCCCTGTATCTGGCACTTGTGACCAGCCTGAGTGTGGGAACAGGATGCATCAAGCATGCAGCAGTGGTTGGGTAATGACCAAGGAAATTGAACCCCTGTGTTTCCAACCATTGAGTTCGATGGATCTCACCATTGCTGCTGGGCCAAGTTCATGTTTGCTGTCATCAGGTTAAGAGTTTTGTATCATCAGGTTGAAGGAGTCCCAAATGGGAATGAGGGCCTGTCATTCACTCCAGAGGTAACTTTTGCTAGAACTGACCAGCTGTGAGAACACAAACCTGCTGCAAGGCTCCAGAGGCCACCAGTGTGGTCTGGGGGTGACCAAGCAGCTCTGGGACAGGAGACAATTCTGAAGTCACAGAGGACTGGGTGAGCACAATTCTCTGTACTACGCTGCTTGTAGCAGCTTTTATTTTGGCTTCTGCAGGCAGAGGGACATGGAGAGAGATCCCGCTGAGCCAAAAAACTGTGTGCGCTTCCCTTCAATTTATTCTTTGGCCTGACATGATTTTTAGCAATTATTTAAATATCTGCTTTTCAAATAACTATAAATCCATAGAAGCTGCTGGTTGGGCATGGTGACTGAACCCAGAAGAGTGTAACAAGATGTATTAAACACCCACTGTTCTTTGCTTGGGGGAGATTTTAAGCAGGGTTGCCATCTTTATCCCTTCACTTGAGGCAGCTCAGGCGAAAGGAAGAAATAGAAATTGGTGCTAACTTGGATGTTTCTTGCCTTTGATCATTCTGAGTCACTCAGCCATCATGTTCTTCTTATACCTCATGGCATGTCCAGTGGGATAAGCAGCTCAGTTCTATCATGAGGGGTAGTTTTGGTTGGCTGTGGTAGACAGGGACAGGCGAGCGGAAGATCTCGGGATGTGACGGAAAGAAAGACCCTTCCCCCTTTCTCCCTGCTTCATGTTAACTATTACCCCCAGAACATGTAACCACATCTAACCCAGTAGTTTTCCACTCCCGACTAACCCTAGGGACCCTACAACCCCCCTCTGACGTAGCAAAGTCCCCCAAGACTATTTAAACCCATGAGATAAGATAATAAATGCTTTCAACCGTCCACCACATTGGTGTCAGCGTGTGTCATTAGCCCGAGTAGCCCGGATGAGGCCGGGCTGCCATGCTGTCGCCTTGCAACCAGGTCGCACGTTGCCTCTCCTGAAGGCAACAGTTGTCCCAGTGCCCTATTGAAATCTTGGATAATGGGTGGAGTGAGCTCCCAAAATCAAGGGATCTCCAGCTGATACTTCTTCACATCCTGCTTCTATAATCCAAGAGTGGCTTGAAGGATGAATAGGATGGAACTTGGTGTGTTTTACTGTGGTACTCTGTTATTTTACAGTTTGTTCTTCTGTAGTAGGTTTTACATATTCCATGTTATACCTTTGTAATGGTTCATTGCATATACCCCATTTGGCTTCCCTAATGGTTCAGTCCTGAGTTGTTTATCCCAAGATTTTCCCATCAAGTGTATGTCAATCCACCTGTCAGTCTCCTTGTACCTCCTTTGTTCCCTTCTGGAATGTTCCTGTCCTTCATCCCCTCCTCGAAGCAAGACTGGGGTGCAGGGTTTGCTCCTTCCCCTTGGTGGCTTCTATTGAATACACCGTACCTTGCACTCCTCCCCTAATGCCTTCCTATTGGTAAAAGGTTGTGTCCTTCCCTTATTCCCACCTCTTCTTAAAAGCAGCTTTTTCATTGTTTGTCCCTGAATCCTCGGAGGAAACAAAACTTCCTTGGAACTCAAACAAGTGACCCTTCTCTATTCCTTTGCTTTGGTTTCTTCTACTGTGCTGCTGCTGTTACCCAGGCCACAGCCGTCGCTGCACGGAGCTGTACTCAGTGCCAGCCGGGGGAACTCAGCAGACATCTGGGAGCAGCCCCTCTCGTGACTGCACACTGGTTTGGGGAGTGAGCTGGCTGGAGAACATCTCCCCTGCGACCACAGCACGCAGTTACATTTTACTGCCCTGGGATGGTGGAAGCATTCAGGTGGATGATCATGATGATGAGAAGCTTGGAAAGGATGGTTCATAATAGAATTATTCTTTACTTTTGTTGTAGGCTGAAAACTTAATCAGCTGTCATAATGCTGGCTTAGTTGGAATATTCCCCACGGAACTCCTGACAAGTGAGTGATGTTGGGATTTTGACTGAACAGCTCATCCGAGGTCACACAGCAGGTTTATGTTAAAGCAAAATTTGGAAGATCACAGTTTGAGGGGCAGCTGCTGCTTCTTATAGAATCAGAGAATCATTGAATGATTTGGGTTTGAAGGGAACTATAAGTTCATCCAGTGCCACTTCCTGCCATGGGTAGGGACACCTTCCACCATCCCAGTGTGCTCCAAGCCCCATCCAACCTGGTCTTGGACACTTCCAGGGGTAGAGCAACCATAGATTCTCTGGGCAACATGTGCCAGGGCCTCACCAGCCTCACAGGGAAGGATTTCTTCCTAATATCTAATCTAAACCAGTCCTCTTACAGCTTAAAGCCATTTCTCCTTGTCCTATTGCTGCACAAAGGGTGATGTGTTATTCTAGCAGAAGGAGGAATGTATTAAGCAACACATTACATACTGTCTTTAAAAAGCCACAAATATGCCATCTTCCCATCTTCAGAGGCCCTGGAGGGGTCAGAATTCAGCTGGGGTTTATATTGTTGCCGTGTGAGAAAAACAGACCAGAAGTGTGCAGCACTTTATCCCCGTCTTACTTACAAGCAGCAGGAGAATGTCCTGGGAAATGTGAGCAGCTAATTTTAGGTGACAACATAGTTCAGGCCCTCCAAAAGGAGAATGAGGCCTCCAGCTCCAGGCCAGACTGTCTGGAACTCTAAAGTGCCTGAGGGCAGTGGATGTTTATGCCATCTCCATAACCTGAAATCATTTGCGTGCAAACATAATCGTCTGGCGTGCCATGGGCAGAGGTGGCTGTCATGGATGTGATTGTAAAATCCCCCATCTCATGGAAGAGGAGAAGAAGGTGCATGTGGAGTGGTTTGCACTGTGCTAATGCTCTCCGGCCCCAAACCCGAGTGGCTTTCCAAATGCTAATTAAGAATCAGAGTTTTCAGTTTCCAGTAGTGGACACAAGGAGTGTGGAGGCTGATCTGGTGTTGCACAGGAACCTGAAAGGACCTGGATGAATTGCAGGGCTTGATTCCCAGTCCTTGGAGGCAGGAAGGAAGGAGGCTGAATTTAAATAACCACTATACACTCCCTGTGGTTTTTTCCATCTTGTTTCCCAGCAGTACTTAGCTGGAACTGGGATATGCTGGGACTGCATTGCACAGTGCCTGGGCTTCTGGCCCGGCTTTGAATTGGCTCAAAGAAGATACCATCCTGGCACCACTTCTCCCCGGGAAAGCTTCCTGACCCTAAGGAACGGCTCCATCTTTCTCAAGTCACTCCATATGTACAGAGGCGCCTGTCCAACACCCAACTGCTCTGTCTCACCCTGGCCAGCGAGGACTAAGAGTGCCCTCTGTTGCACTCCTTGCGTGGCAGTACTCTGCTTGCTCCTCGGGAATAAACAAAATGACTCTTTAATGCAAAAACCAACTCTTTCATGTTCTAAAGTTCTGCCGTTCTGGCTGTGCACAAGCCTGGTGCTGTATTTCAGCAGCAAACAGAAAGGATCATGGTCCAAAATAAAGATGTGTGTGATCCTGCAACCATTCCAAAGCACTTTTGGGAACTGCTGTCTTTTAGGAAAAACTTTCATCCAGGAGCTTTTCATTGCCTTGTAAAATACACAGCTCCTCATGCAGGAGCTCTAATTATGAAACTCATTCCCCGGAGCTGACAGGTGATGCACAGCCAGACGTGGTACCTGACAGCACAGAACTACCTATCCCTTCCTCCTGCTCAGACTCTGAACACCGCAAATCTCTGTTTAATCACTCCTCAGCTCTTGCAGCCGAAAAGGAACGGTTGTAGGTAGGGAGAAGGGGTCGGTGTCAGGGAAAGCTGTGCCAAGCTTCATATTCGGAGGTAGAAAGAGGAAAAATTAAAAAATAATTCTCCTGCTTTTACTGGGGTTTGATTTATCCACCTGGAAAGTAAGCAAGCTGCAGGCAGCGGTGGCAGCTCCGTCACCGCCGGAGCCGCAGGAATCCACTCGTGTTCCCTAGAATTTGGGCATTTTTTGTTGCACCCTTTTGAGCACGGTTCCAGCCCGTCACTCAGCGCGGGGCCCGCCCCTTCCAGAGGATATTTAAAGAGAAGCTGATGCGCAACTTACTCCAAAGAGGCGGGGAAACTCCGGGGGAGTGGGGAGCTGGCAGCCTGGGATCCCTGCCCTTCGCAGTACTCGGGATGCCTGGCAGCTTGGGGACAGGGACCCGGACTCTGCTCCCGCTCCTCCTCGCCCCTGGCTGGGTACGTACGGCCCTGCAGCAGCTCTGCCTGGGCACTGCAGCTTCTTGCTTCGATGTATGCGAGGGCTTTGGGCCGAGAGACTCTTCTCGGCTGCCGCCTGCTCCCGAGTTTCCGAGGGAAGTTGGGCTGGGAGCAGGGTGATGTAAGTGTCCTGGGTAACTTGGACAATGGGTTGTCCAGTCGCCCCCTCCCCAGGGGCTGCCCCGTGTACACCCGTGTGTCATCCACGGGTCTTAGAGCTCCTGGCACATGGGAATGGGTTTTGTTTCTTCCTACTCCTGGAAGCCAGAAATTCGCCCTGGTCTAGAAGCGGGAGAAGAGAGCAGAGAGAAGGGAAGTCAGTGAGTTTGTCATTACAAAGAGTAACAGTCTCATATCCCAATTCCTTACTATCACCATCCTTCCCCAGCTGTCACTGAATCCACCCATGTGCTCCCAAAAGCAGTGATCCTGAGGGGAAAATTAGACTGCATCATCTCCAGAGCAGGATTTGTACCTGTTTTCCTGTTAATAAAAGCTCTTGAGAGAGCAGCTGATTCATCTTAGGACATTTGAGTGCTGTTCTCGTGTCAGCAGTATCAGGAACATCACTGCCATCATTAAACTGCTGTAAGTGCTTTTTGGCTCAGTGAAACTGGGTTCACAGAGTCCCTTGCAGGGCTTGTTCTGGTGAGAGAGGTAATCAGCTCCTGATTGGTGAGGTCTGTTGGATTGTTCCTAGCAGTACCTAGCGTATGCCAGCCCCTTTCCTGCCAAGAACGTGAACTGGGCTGCAATCTAAGGGAAATTGCTGCCATTTAGGGTGGGCATCTTGATTCTTACTCTGGCTCAGCTGTGGCAGCACCATGTGGCTCATATAAACAGTAACAAGCAATCCCACTACTGTGACCCTTGGTTACCACTCTGAGACAGGTGGTTTTCCCTAAACCTCAATGCCAAATGCCTCAGAAATGTAACTTTTGACTTTCTTTAAGCATGAGGTTGAATTCAGTGATCTTTGATGTCTTTTCCAACCTTAATGATTCTGTGAAGCTTTGTGCATTAAGGCAGGAAATGAGAGCTGTTACTTCTGAATCTTCTTCCTGTGTTGTTCAGAGGTGAGAGTAGCTCCAGGATTACTGTGAGTTGTGTTTAGGCTCACCCTGGGCAGGTGTCTGTATCCCCGTCCTCTGTCGGTGAAGGGGATCACTGGTTCTTGTCTCTCCAAAGGAGCTGTTACACAATGTGTTGCAGCAGCTGTAGGAAGGCATCTTTAGAGCCTGAGATGGAGAGAGAGCAGGGGCTATCCACAGTATTTGGAGTTCGAAGGATGAATAGCTGTGTTTTGGCTGCTTAGTCTTAGAGCACTAAAAGAACCAGCTGAGTGTTTATTATATCACCTCTACCTTGCAGCATTAACTCCTGCCTCCCCAAGCTCTTTGTAAACGCTCAGCTCAAAATTCACCTTCCTGCCCTTTGAGTGCAGTCATGAACCCAAACACGTTTTAAGACATCCTCTTTGTTTTGGCTCCCTTAGCTGGTTCCCTGGGCTCCTGTGGACGTTGGTCAGGAATGAGAAATCCAGACAGTGCCATGGACCTGCTGCAGTGGTGGGAACTCATGTTGCAGCACTCATACCTGCCTAAGAGTGCAGGGGAAGAGGTTTTATATAAATATGAAGCAGGAAGAAGATTCTCAATTTTTCTTACCTGCATGTAACTGGGTTTGGCTCTGGCAGTTTGGGAGGGAGCTTGTTCTGGCTTTTCAGCCCAGCAGACAGCTCTGGGGAGCTAGAGGTAGAGAACACAATGGAGTGGAACAGAGCAGGGGAATCCTCTGGCATGGCTTGGCCATCACTCAGGGGTCCTGGGAGGCGCACAGCTTCACACACAGTGTTTGTGATGGATGCAACAGCTGTCAGAAAAGCCAGAAGCAGGGAGAGCCAACATGCCAGGCTTTAGAACCTTCTTAGATCCATGGCCTTGATCTCTGAGTTGAATCCCTCTGGACCCGGGTCAGTGTCAGGTTATTTGGAATTGTTGGACTTTGTGTTACCTTTGGGTCTACAACAAAACCTTGAATTCCAATCCTGGCAGCTCTTGGGAACAGTTTGTGGAGTTCTTTGGGGAAATTTTAAGGCAGTTCTTTGGGCAGAAGAACCAAAAGCAACCTTTGGAAAGAATGCAGGGTGAAAGGTGCTCCATGCAAAACCAATATAATTCACTATTCAGCCCTCTCTGAAAGAAAATTTTTGTAATGGAGAGCTCAAGGATGTTGGTTGAACATTGACTTTTTCCCAGCTATTCCCCCACTTGAGAGCCTCCCTGGCCAGGCAGTTGTTTCAATGCTCTGGCTGTTGGGTGTGCGTGAGCCAAACTCCATTCCAGCTCATTCCCTTCTCTACCAAGCCTAGGAGAGCAGCAGGAATTATAAATAGCTTGGGCTGACTTTGCTCAGCAATAAAACCAGCCAACAGGAGCCCCAATACCTCCTGAGCAATGGAGGGAGACACATTTGAGCTGACTGGGAGCATCTGGGTGTATTTAGAAGGGTCCTGAAAATCATGATAAATTGGGATTTTTAGCTGATGGCTGGGGGAGCTGAGGTACAGCATAGGTGGGTGCAGGGTCACCAACTGGTCTCTGATACAACAGAGTTCTGAATTTATATATTCTCCTGCTGAAAAGCAGCTGTGATACTGAATGAGGAAGTCAAGCTACTGTGAACAGAAGGTAAAACCAGGTGGGCTGGTTTATGTGACTGAGTTATGGAGGAAATAACTAGTGCCAGCCATGATTAATGAGGGCGGGAGAGAAAAAAACCACAAAATTGTAGAATCATGGAATAGTTTGGGTTGAAAGGGATCTTGAAGATCATCCAGTTTTATCCCCTTGTCACATGCAGGGACACCTTCCACTAGACCAGGTTGCTCCAAGCCCTCTCCAGCTTGGTCTTGGACATTTCCAGGGGTGAGACAACTCAGTTGGGTTTAAAGTCATTGCATTCTCTTGTCCCCAGAGAGCTTGGTTATTTTGCATTTCAGCAGGAAAGCTATTTTGGGAGTGTTTCTATGGCCTGTGGCTGACAGTGCATTGGAAAATGCTTGTTATCATTATTTTTTATTAAGTGCATGGATTACATCTTGATATAGGTCCCATGTTAGCAATGCTTTGTTTCTTGTGTGATCTCATGCACCCCCTCCATCTCATCTGGGATTGAATAACGCATTCCTTGGCAGCTGGAGCTAGAAAAAAGTAGGGAAGATTTCTGTATTTTTAGTTCTTTTAATGCACTTCAGCAGTTGGGAATCGATTCCTGGGACAAGCTAGGTTCTGGTGAGTGGTTCCAGGGCAGTCGGCTGGGAACAGCTGAGCTGCAGGCTGGAGAGGCCTGTTTCCAAAATACTTAGTGCTAGGAGTTATCCAGGACAATTATGCTGATTCCTGCTGAGGAGAGAGACTCTGGAAGGACTCACCCCTTGGGACCACCTGAGGGAATGGCTGTAGCTGTTTCAGGAGTAGTTTAGACGGATATTTGGAAAAGGTTCTTCTCCCAGAGGGTGCTGGGCACTGCTCAGGCTCCCCAGGGAATGGTCATGTCCCCAAGGCTGCGAGAGGTCCAGCAGCATTTGAACAACACTCTCGGGCACAGGGTGGGATTGTTGGGGTATCTGTGCAGGGAGAGGGGTGGTACTCCATGATCCTTGTGGGTCCCTCCCAACTTGGATATTCCATGACTTTGAGGGCATATTTAGCCAAATCTCAGTCCCACACGTGCTGTGTTGGTGAAACAGCTGAACAAAGAAGTTGGCACATTCTGACACCAAATGAACTGAAGGCAGAGCAACAATCAAAACAGGAGGAAGTTTTCCTACTCTGGTTGGTGACAGACACAATGTCCAAGGAAGCTATTTCACAAGTGAGGGCTGGATGGGATCTGACAAGTGCAAACAGAGCCATAACAAGATAAATTTTTTGACCTGTTCCAGGTGTGTGTCCCCCTCCCTGCTGCTCTCAAGGCTATTACCAGCTGTCCTAGGGTGACGTTATGGTGTTTGTATCCCCAGTCGTGTGTTCTCTTTATGTTTGATATTATGTTCTGTGCTTTCAGAACTGACTCTGAAAGTGAAGGTTTGTTTTGTGTTGTTATCAGCCGGCTCACCTCCCCCATGGTCTGTTGTCTAGAAGAGGCTGGTGCTGGCTGGCTTTGCTTTGCTTGCTGGCTTTTGCTTGCTTGCTCTTGCTCCTGCTTTTGCCTTTGCTTGTTAGTTAGTTTAGCTAAGCAGTCCAATTCTTTCCCTGGACTGTTTCTTTTCCCTTTCCCTTTCCTGAATACCATTCCATCCTGCTCCAGACGGGACCAGGGAAACACCGAGGAGCACCGAGAGCTGCGCTCTGTGATCTGCAGCAGCCATCCCCAGTGCCCAGAGCAATCCCCAGCACCCGGACCCGGGCAGTCACTCCCAGGAGAGACTTTCTGGATTTGTTCATCTCTTCAGAGCGGTGAAAGAGTTTTGTTGTCATCTGGTGTTGTTCATTTTTTGGTGCTGGGGAGTGCTTTGTTTGTTAAATAAACAAGTTCTTTCCCACTTCCCTCCGAGAATATTCTTCCCGAGCTAGGTGGGGGGAGGGGCTGTGGGGGTTTGTTTTCTGGGGGCTCCTTCCAGAGGTTTTCTCCCAAATTTGCCCTTAACTAGGACACCAGCTCAGCTGCTGCTCTCCTGCAGAGCTGTGAGGGGTCTACCCCATTGGATGCTTCCCGCTCCACCCTGCTCATAGCAGTGCAGGATCCCAGAGTGTTTTGGTGGCATCATCCATGTGCCAGGGTTGTGTCAGCTCTGGGTGTGAGCTGAGCCGTGTCCAGAATAGTGGAGTGGTGCATAGAGTGGGGCAAGGGGGAATTTGGATGGGCAGGATCTGAACAGTAAACCAGGCTGGAGCTGGCACTGATGTTTCTGAAGAGGTTTCAGAGGATCTCTAGAGGCCACATGTTCTGCGTTGTTCACAGTCAGGGTGTTACATCTTGCCCAAATCTGGGTAAAGGCAGAGCTGAGCTGTTGCTCCTGCTCTGAGCTGATGCAGAACAGGGATGGCACACACTCAGTGTACTGGGATGCTAGTCCCATCTGGGTTTTCCAGAGCAGGTAATCCTGCTTCAGCTGCAGCCTGGTCTCTGTTTGGTGTCTGAAGTGTCATGAAGCCAAGGGTGGGTTTCAAGTGCTGTCCACTGAAATGCTGTCAAAGGGGGGCATCTGGGCACTCACAAGGTTCCAAGGAAGGTTGGTTATGCTGCATTCTTTGGAAAATGGAAAGGAGAGAGTGCATGTAATAAGGAAGAAAGTGTGAGATGCAGGGGACAAAATGAAACCTTTGAGCTTCTGGGTTGGTTTTCAGCATCCCCACAGTCCCACTGCCTGGCTTTGGGCAAGTCCTGTTGCTGTCTGTGTTGTTTTTTCAGCTTCCACTGTGTCTGATGCTGGTGCAGAGACTTTGATGGTTGTCCCGTGTAAAAGCTGGCGTTCCTTGTTGTTAGTGATTACAACTTTATTGCTTCCAGGGTGGGTGTGCTGTACAGGGGACTCTGAGCTATCACTTGTCCTGTTTGTTTTGGCTCTGCTTCCAAGAGGCATCTTTTTTTCTTTTTTTCCCTTGAGCTCCAGATGAAGTAGGGATGAGGAAAACATGAGTCCTGTGAGTCCTTGGGAGCTGCGTACACACCCTCTGCAGCAGGGCTGTTCCCCCTCTCTTCTGCGGTATCTGCGCTTTCAGCAGAGCTGTATTTTTCCTCTCCCTGTCCAGCTGCCTTGCAATAGACTCATTCTCTCCATGGCTTTTGCCTTCCAGGTAGAGCCACAGGCCTGCACATTCCCATGCCAGTGTCCCTCCCAGCCTCTGCAGTGCCCTGCGGGTACCAGCCATGTGTGGGATGTCTGTGGCTGCTGCAAGGTGTGTGCCCAGCAGCTGGGTGAACTCTGCTCCTTGCACAGGCCCTGTGGCCATCACAAGGGACTCTACTGTGACTTCTCCAAAATCCATAGAGGCAGTGGGATCTGCTTAGGTGAAAGGTGCAGGTTCTGTCCTTATGTGTTTTTTTTCGTGGTGCCTCCCCAGAACACCCATTAGAATTTCCTTGGAGCTTCATCCAGTGTCATACTGAGAGATCAGTGCCAGCCCTGGGAACAGTGGATCCCCTGACACAAACACAGCTGGCTTCTCACAGCTCCAGTAAGGCATGAGTGGGGCTGTGGGACTCTCCTTTTTCTTACCTGCAGGTAACTGGGTTTGGCTCTGGCAGTTTGGGAAGGAGCTTGTTCTGGCTTGTCAGCTGAGCAGACAGCTCTGGGGAGCTAGAGGTAGAGAACACAGTGGAGTGGAAGAGAGCAGGGGAGTCCTCTGAGTGTTGGCACTTCTGGCGTGGCTTGGCCATCACTCAGGGGTCCTGGGAGTCCCACAGCTTCACACACAGTGTTTGAGGATGTCCTGGGACATCCTCTACCCTTTGTGCAAATACCAGCAGTCTAGCTCTTACTGAAAGTACTTTTACTTGGAATATCCTACCCCAAATCCCTCTGCCTTTTGCCATGGATGGGTGTTCTGCACTTGGCTGCTCCTATGCAAGAGGCAAAATGTATTTCTGGCCATAGCATGTGGGTGGGAAGAGCTGAACATCTCCTTTACCACATTGTGTCTGTGTGGAACATAGAATTCCTCAGCCAGGTAATGCAAATTTGGAAGCTGCTTTACCTCCTGACACCTCTTTTCAGCTAGAAAAGAAAATTTTTTAAAGATTTTTTTTTTTAGTAGTTCCTTCTGAAGCAAGCAGAAATTATTTTGGTCTAGAGGAAAACCAAGCGGTTCCACAACCTCCTGGTCTTTGCTTAAAAACAAGACTCCTCTACCCCATCTCTGACAGGAGCTGATATTTTTTCTTGGATTTCAAAGGAATCAAATTTTCAAAATAATCAGGAAGACCTAAGAGTTGGCAGTTTGGTGTGAGTACTTAGGGAAACGTTTGGCTACAGCACTGGATGTCTCTGGAAATGATCCAGCACAAGCCTGAGACAGAATCATAGTATCATGGAATGGTTTAGCTTGGAAAGGATCTTAAAGCTCTTCTTAAGCCACCCCCTGCCATGGGTGGGGACACCTTCCACTATCCCAGTTTGCTCCAAGTCTCATTCAGCATGGCCTTGGACACTTCCAGGAATGGGGCAGCCACACGTTCTCTGGGTACCCTGTGCCAGGGCCTCAACAGCCTCACAGGGAAGAATTTCTTCTCAGTATCCCATTTATCCCTAGCCCTTGTCTAAATGAGTCTAACTTGTTGGTATTTGCTCATTCAATAAGTTTTTACAAGTTGCTTCATTTTCATTCCCCAGTTTTGGGGGTTTTTGGAAGCCATGTGAGCTCCTGGTACTTTCTGCAGACATTGAGACACCTGAGAGCTGAGGATTGAAGCTTAATAATGCAAACACAGGTGTGATGACGTCCACCAGATAGATGTGAGCAGCATGCTGCCTCATTCCAAATGGGAATGCAGTGTCTGTTCGTGGAGGGAAGGTAGCAAAAATTTTCCTCAGGAGTGTGAGAGTCACCATTTAAAAACCTCTCAGTGAAGCCTTGAAATTCTTCTAATAAAGGTGCTTTGTATTCAGCAGACATCCAGGTTTGATCCAAACATTGGAAGTGATTCTGCTGTGGAGGAGATCAGAATTGCAGACACAACTGTTCTTCCTGATTTTAAATGAGAAATTAGTCTTTTCACAGCAAAAACTGCTGTGAACAGAGGCCAGGATTTATTTCTAAAATGGGCTCAGGATTTGGGCCATAACATCCTTGGGTGACATTTTTATGATGTACACATGGGTCTGTTGGAAGATGGGGGATTTTGGAGGCAATGAAGGAAGCTGGAGGAGTGAATCAGAGGAAAGGAAAGGTCAATGTTTTGCCTTAAATTTATCCAAATAAGCAGATGTGCTGGAAGGAGAAAGGAGCGGATGTATCATGGGAAAAGTATCATGCTCGGGTATCACAGGGAAAGTGTCTCAGTTGAGACCAGTCTGTAGGCTGTATCGGGAGAGATGGGAAGGGAACTATCAGAGGGAAACTTATTTTATGTTTTATAGAGGGAGGGTGGATGGATGGCTTCCACTTTGATGGAAAAAGTGAGGATTTTGAAGTGTCAAAGTTGGAGCACAGGAGTATTTTTATCCCAATGGCATTGTAAAGAGTTACAAGATGAGATGCAAGTCTTGATAGGAACAGTCCAGAAGGATTTGTGTCCCCTCAAGGGATAGAGATGGATGGGAAGAGATTCTTACTCCTTGTTTGATTCAAACACTTTCTGTTGGAAATAGTATCCCCTGGGCGAGAAGGACTTGGGGGAAAACAGATCAGATTTCCTGAGAAGCCTCCCCAAACAGTCAAAAATCCTTCCTTTTGGTAACTTCCCCATAGAGGTTTGCATGGATTTTAATTTATTTTTTTTTTTTTTTTTTTTTTTTTTAAGGATCAGGATTGCAGAAAACAGCAGCTGCTGAAAACTGTCCAAAATCAAGATTTCTGTCCTGTGAAAACTCTGAGATTTCAACACTGAATTTCAGGCTGAGAGAAAAAAACTACATTAAATATATATATATATAAATTAAGCATTAAAAAAAAACCCTCTTTCTATTACTTATTTAGAATACTCATTTGGCTGTGTCAAAACTTTCCATTCTTTCAAAATACTTCATCTTGATCTTTATAATAGCAAAATAATTACTAGAACAAAGTGCTTCCCTCTGTGGATACTATCCCATGTGTATTTTGGTTGAGCATAAAGGAAATCTTTCATATCAAATGGTTCAGTTGGTTCTTCTTGAAAATATTCTTGATCTTAATCAGGTAAGAGATTTCTGCTGGAAAGCTTCACTGGGAAAGTTCTGGCTAATGCACTGCTAAGAACTTGGGAGTGTTGTCATGCCTGCAGAATAAAAGTTGCTACTCAGTGTTAGATATTGTTGAGTTTCCCGTTTAAGTTTTATTGGGAAGGAGGCAGCGACTGGTAGGAGATCTGGAGATGAGAGATCCAGAGATCAGAAGGGTGAAAACTGGAAAAAATTTGGGCTGGAAGGAGGAAGAGATTTGTGCATCACAGAGGAGCCAAAAAGGACATCATCCCAAAGTATCATTTTCATTTGTAGGTACCATTTGCATGGGGGAACCAGCCGTTCTTAGAAGAGTGTTGCCTATTGGTGTCCCAGGAGTACTGAGGAGCAAAGCCATGCTCACATGCCATGTCAGGAATATGTCTTGCACAGCACCACTGACTGGCCACTTCAAGGTGGTTGGGAAGAACTCTGACAGAGAAACAAGCTCTTTACAGGCACCAAACACAAAATCATACTTAGTAGCTCATCCAAGCAGAAAATAATTTTTTCTAGAGAATTTTGGGAGGACCAGCACTTCTGAAAAATCGGTGTCAGAAGTAGCCTTGGGTCCAGGGAGGCAAATAGGATATATTCAGGACTGGGATGGCAGAGCAGAGGAGGATGGGCTCTGTCCCTCCTCAGGAGTTCTGTTTCCCCAAGGCAGGGCTTCAGCCTTCTGCTTACTTCTTCTCCTCTTCTTCCTCCCCCAGCTCATGAGGGTGCCGCATGTGACCTGCTGGGCAAGATGTACCTCAACGGGGAGAGCTTCCAGCCCACATGCAAACTGCAGTGCATCTGCATGGACGGGGCCATCGGCTGCATCCCGCTCTGCTCTGATGACCTGCGCCTGCCGTCCCCCGAGTGCCCCAAGCCCCGGAGGGTGAAGTTCCACAACAAGCGCTGCGAGGAGTGGGTGTGTGAGGAGGGCAGCGAGGATAACCGCTTTGGAACAGCCATGGCAGGTCAGTGGGGCACGAGGGATGGGGCTGGGAGCTGTTTGCTGGGGAAGAGGAGTGAATTTGGGGCACTGACTGGTTTGGGGCTGGTGGTGGCTTTGTGCATCATCGTGATGGGGGTGAGTACCAAGTGTTGGGTTCCAGAGCTAAACACCAGCCCACCCAGCTGCTTTATCACTCCTCTTCCTAGCTGGACAAGGGGGAGAAAATAAATGGAAAGTGACTTGCAGGTTGAGATGAGGCAGTTTATTAAAGCAAAACCGAAAGTTTGCATGTGCACAAGCAAAGAGGAGAAAAAAAAATAGATTTATTCTTCACTTTCCATCATCAAATGGTGTCCAGCCACTTCCTGGGAAGCAGGGCTTCAGCACATGGAGCAGTTGCACCAGAAGGCAAACGTGAATAGCATATTCCCCCTCCACCCCCTTCCTCCTCCTTTCCTTAGCTTTTATATCTGAGTTGACAGGATGCGGTCTGGAATATCCCAGTGGTGAATTTGGGTCAGCTGTTTTGGCTGTGTCCACTAACAGGATCTTGCCCCAGCCCCGATGACACGTGGCTGAAAAATTAAAACTCTACAGTTTTAATAAAGACTTGTAGGGAATGGTTATTTTTAATTTTTTTTTAGCGCTGGGCACACACTGTGATTTTTCTTGCTGCAGGGGTTTCTTTTAAAGGGCATGCACGCTCTTTGGGGATTTTTGATTTTTTTTATTATTTTGTACTAATTTATATAGAATTTTAGAATAGGTTTATGTATATTTATTTTGTTGATTTTGAGTTATAATTTATAGTTGGCTTTTTGTATAGGGAACTTTTTAATCTTTTTGTCTATTTTTGTAGACATTTTTTTTTGGTTTTAGAGTTTAAGGGGCCCCTCTTATCTCTTCACCTTGGAGATTGCATTCTTTTTTCTTTGGCTGGGACAGTTTTACAAGCACAGCAGAGTTAACAGACTAAACAGCAGATTTTACTCATGTTAGCAAGCCACTTTGCAGTACACTTTACATAGATCTAGATGGATTTTTTTACCCTGTTAAATTTTACTCTGTTTCCTATCCCCCTTTCCTATATATAAGTAAATTCTTTTACTTAATGTAAATTATTGGAACAATAGGTGTTTCTTAACGCTTTATTATGTATATTTGATAAGGAGGTTAATATAGCTATTTGTTGTAGTATTTTTAAATTTTAAATTAGTAATATGAAGGATAATCTTAAATTTATTTTAATATTAATAAAACTATAATGTGGTGATACAGTTTATTAAAAACTTTATTTGCAGTTGGTGATTATTTAAAGATTATATTTTACTGGTGATGATTTGCATATTGTTTTATTTTTTGTAGAATTTTGGTTACTTTTTTGGTATTATGGGTTTTTCTTATTTTTTAAAAAATCTTTAATAGGTTTTGGTGTTTAGTTAATTGTGTTATTAATGTGAGGTTTATTTTAATAGGAGTGGGTGATAGTTTATGATATATTGTGTAATTGGTTTTAATTAGTTGGTAGGATGTTACTGGGGCTTAATATGAAAAATTATATTTAATAATTTTAATAAAATTGTAAATATAAAAATTAGAATTATTTATAGTAGACAAAATAAAATTACTGTTATTGATTTTATAATATTATAGGCAGTTTTAAAGTATATATAATTTTTACTAGTGTATAAGTATAGTTTTTTGATTAGTGACTGGATAGATTTTAAAGTGGCAAATAATTTGTTTAGTGTTGCAACATATATTGAGCATTAATGTTATTGCTTTTATAAATGAATTTTAGTTGCTCTTTAGCAACACAGGATCTTAAGTTTATTGTTACTTTTTATTTACTTTTTGTGCTTATACTTTATGCTTTGAGGGGTAAAGTATTGTTCTTTTATTATTTAATCTTAGTGCGATGATGGGGTGGATTATATAAACAGTGGTATTATGTATAGTAAGTACAAAGATAATGGCTACATTAGAAGTAGGATTATAGGTAAAATTTACTAAAGTTTACTAGGACTGAAACTTTCTTTTGAAATTAATTAACAGGCTGGGACAGTTTTACAAGCACAGCAGAGTTAACAGACTAAGCAGCAGATTTTACTCATGTTAGCAAGCCACTTTGCAGTACACTTTACCTAGATCTAGATGGATTTTTTACCCTGTTAAATTTTACTCTATTTCATCTTCATCAGGGGAGAATGTTGGAGAGACATTAGTGATGCTGTGTCAACCCTGCCCAGTAGTAGCCAAAAACACTGGTGTGTTACCAACACCTTTCCAGCTCCCACTGCACAGCACAGCACTGGAGTGGCTGCTCAACTCCAGCTCAGCCAGACCCAATACAAAGTGAAACCTCAGCAGTGCTATGGGAAAGCACCTGCGTCCTGAAGTGTCACAGCAGAACTGTCTGCAGCTGGGCTATGTAGAAATGGACCCTGCTCACCTGCATCCCTTTTCTGCTGAGAGACCAAGTATCTAATGGGATGGGCCAGACCTTTGCTAATGTTCCTGAAGTGTTAAAGTGTGTTGGGAGCAGCCATGGAGCTGCTACTCTTTGTCCAAAGCCCTGAGCCTTGCCTCGTGTCTCTTCCTCATGGCTCAGTTTTCAGGGAGGATCCAGCTCATGAGCCAGAGCTGAACAACCTGCAGGAGAACTGCTTGGTGCAGACCACAGAGTGGAGTATGTGCTCCCAGAGCTGTGGAATGGGCATCTCCACCCGTGTGACCAACGACAAACCCCAGTGCTGCCTGGAGAAGGAGACCTGGCTCTGCATGGTCCGACCCTGCAACTTCTCCATGGAGAAAACCAAGGTATGGTGAGGTATGGTGCTGGAAGAGAGGGGACACAGCACCCCAAATGCTGGGGACAGCCTTCGGAATGATCCTGGCTCACGGGGTTTGCTCTGTGCTTCCACTTCCTCTGTCCAATGCGTCCCATAGCCCAGTGATGGGGTCAGAGCACAGGTCTCAGTGCATCTTTCCTGTCATGTCCATGGCAATCCATCTGCTCTCTCCCTAGAAGGGAAAGAAGTGTGTGCAGACCCCAAAGCAGCGCCAGAGCCTCCACTTTGAATTTTCAGGGTGCACCAGCACCCGCTCCTACTGGCCCCGGTTCTGCGGCAGCTGCTTGGACGGGTGCTGCTGCACCCTGTTCCTAACCAGCGCCATGGATGTGGAGTTCCACTGCCCTGGGGGGGGACTTCTTCCAGAGGAAGGTGATGTTCATCAAGATGTGCTCCTGCCTCTATGACTGCCCCCGAGACAATGACATCTTCCTGGCCACATATCATCATTGGATGATCGGAGACCATGTCAAGATTGAGCAGCAATAGCCCTGTCTTGCCAGCTCTGAGCTGTGCAGGAGGGGTCTGCAGTGTTTTTGTGGCTGTGTCCAGGCCAATGCAGCCTCTTCCCCTTTTGTGAGGGGCTGTGCTTTCCACAGCAGCACCGTTCACACCAGTGGTCCCTGTGGTTTTCCCAGCGGGCCAAGGGAGGAGCCTCTGACCCCTGTCCACAGTGGTGCAAAGGTCAGTGAAGAAACCAGAAACAGGCTTGAGCTGTAAACTTGATTTGTATTCCTGCTGGCCAGAAGAGAGAGTGGATCAAAGTCATGTGGCTCCCACCTGTCTCCAGCCCAGAGCACAATTCCTGATTCAGACCCTGAGAATTCTTCCAGCATGAACTGGGGGTGAACCAAGCTGTCAGACCAAGATGTGTCCCCTGAAGGTGCTGCTGTGGGCAGCTTTTAGTGCCTTGATGAGCATTTCATAGAACCATGGAGTGGTTTGGGTTGAAAGGCACTTTAAAGCTCATCTAGTTTCAACCCACTGTCATGGACAGGGACACTTTCCACTAGCCCTGGTTGCCCCAAGCCCCATCCAACCTGGCCTTGGGCACTTCCAGGGATGGGGATGGGGCAGCCACAGCTTCTGTGGGCAACCTGTGCCAGGGCCTCACCTGCCTCACAGGGAGGAAGTTCTTCCTAATCTTGTCAGAAATGGCTCTGGAGTGGGAGAGGGACTGGACCCCACAAGCTTGCACATGTATAGTGAGGCTGCAGCTGTTTCAGCTCTGGAGTCTTTTCTCTGGATGTTTGTAAGTAGGAGGAACACTGTTCAGCTCCAGTCTCCCTGGAGAGTTTAAGATACTGGCAAGAGAAATTCTCCTACTTGTAAATGGAGCAGATCCCATCTGGAGTTACTGGGGCAGTGCCGTGGGGAGCTGTTGACACTGGTGTCTCCAGCAGTGGGATTTCCTCCTGGCCACAGACCTGGCAGAGTCTCTCTGCCAGGAGAGGACCTTATTGCCAGCCCATAGCGCCAGGAAAGGCCACCAGCAGCCAGTGCCAGTGGTATGTCCCGCAGCACGTTGGCAGCTTTGCGGGACTGCTAAGATCTTGTCAGGTGTGGAGAAATCTTAGTTTTAACAGAAACATCCAGGTGCAGGACCTGATGCTGGTTTTTATGTTATCCTTGCCATTGGAAATCAAGAAGCATTTCTGTTCCAGCCAGGCAGGAGCAGCAGCCCCAAGGCTTCACCTCACCATATCTTCCTACCCCAAATTAGAGCCTAATGCCAAGGGACACTCCCATCTGTCCCAAATTTCCAGACTGTTGACACACCAGCTCAGGGCCCATGTTCCATCCCAGCCTCTGTTCTTTGTCTCAGCCTGCAGCAGCTCGTGAGTCTTCACCCTCCTGTCATCAATTTGAACTGTAAATAATTTATCTGATGTTGTTTCTGTTTTTAAGGCCTTTGTGCAATCCTGAGATCCTGTTGACATAACCCTACTCAGGCTGTTAACCTTCTCTGAGCTTCTCGCCTGCCATTCATACAGTGCTGAGTCTCAAACCATTCTGAGGTTTCACTTTACTCAATGCTAATAAATATCTCTATTTTTTATATCTGAACTCATCCCCGCTGACCTTTCCCCGGTGTTAGGACCCTCTGGAGAGTTGAAGGCTGGGTGCTGGAGGGGAGGGAGTGACAGGGGTTTTTTTTCCTGTTCCCAAATAGCAGCAGGACTGATGTTAGTGTTTCACAGACAGCTCTGCAGCTCACAAAACACAGCTCCTCCCTCCGCGGCTTGGAGGGGGGGGGGGGGGGGGGGCAAGCAGAGCCCTCCTCTGCCTGCTGAAGAACCCACAGTCCTTAATACCAGATTAAAAATAACCCCGGGAGCGGATGTGAGCAGAAGTTGGTGATAACAGGGCCAGAATGCAAGGGGCTTTGCAGTGGCTTAACAGCTTATGGTTTCATCCCCCTCTCATCACATTATCAGGGACTCCCCCCTCTCCCACTCCACAGAGCTTCTTCCTGCCCCCAAAACTTCATCCTCGCCGGGGAAGGCTTAGGGCTTCCAGGGAGGGGCGGAGGAGGAGGAACAAACCCCTGCCACGCTTGAGCTCAACACGCGTTGTGTTGAGGTCCTGAGCTCAGGGCAGGATCTGGCCCGTGCACCTCTGCAAAGGCCCTGACAGAGGCAGCGGGGGACACGCAGTGATGGTCCTCGGCAGTGCCCCCAGGGCGGTGGCCATCAGATGCCACCAGGAACTTCCCCATGGGGACACGCCGTCCCCAGGGCAGGGTACGGGGGCGTGCGGGGTCCCTGGCGTGCTGGGGGGACTCGGCTGCTGAGCGTGACGCCGGGTAGCACCCCAGGAGTGCCCGCTCGGTACTCCAGCCCAGTCCCGGCAGCTAGTGCCACCGGCAGGCCGCCACCGCCAAGCCAGCGGAGATGGCAGCGAGGCCCTCGGTGCTAAGGCCGAGCTCCATCCTGCCGCCGCCTCCTTCCCCGTCCTGGCGGGGGCCCTATTCCGCTTTATCTCCGCAGCCTCCGTCTGCGCGGCGCCGATAACCCGGGCGTGGCCCCAGGGATGGGCCCGGGTTTGGGGGCGGCTTCCGTGGCCCTGATGACCTTAGCGGCTGCGGCCACGCCGAGCCTTCTGCGGTGGGCCCAGGACGGGGGCACCACCGGCTCCTCCAGCCCATAGCAAGGACGGGGTTTTCCCTAAGAAAACGTCGGAAAATAGTGAAAATAAGCAAAAAGGTCTACAAAAGCCCTGATTCCGCTGGTTTGGCGGGACTTTGGGCCTCTGCCTTGGCGCGGGGGAACCCGTGGGGGGCACCTGCTCTTTATATGGGCCTATGACGTCACGGGGGCGCGAGAGGAATCGCCTGGCCCCACCCCCCGCTCGGCACCTGCGGGCCCCGCCCACTGCAGCGGCGCGCGCTGGCCCCGCCCCCTCCGCGCAATGACGGGAGGGGGCAGCAGTCAGTGGGCGCGGCCAAGGGGCGGGGCTCGTGTTGTGACGTCAAGGGGCGGGGCGGGGCCGGTGGTGCCGGTGGAGGCAGCGCGGAGCGGAGTGGCGGCCCCGGTGAGCAGGGGCAGGTGAAGTTCCTCGTGTGTCAGGCCTGTTGTGGGGCGAGAGGGCTTTTGAGGGGAGGGTGAGGACTGTAGGGGTTAAGCAGGTTGCGGGGGTGCTGTGGGGGGTATAGGGGTCAGGTAGGTTCTGGAAGATTTGGGGCTCCCTGGAGGGACCCATAGTGAGTCGGTCTGGTCATGAGCTGCAGGGTTGTAGGAAGAGTTGTGGTGCTATGGGGGCTCAGGCTGGTTATAGAGTGGAGGGGTTGCCAGGGGACATGGGGTGCTATGAAGCAGGGAGTTTCCGGTAGGGTCAGGCTGGATGTGAGGTGATCTGGAACTGTGGGAACCAGGGGCACCCGTAGAGGTCAAGCTGGATGTAAGGTGGTATAGGGTGCTCAAGGGTTTGGAGAGGAGGGGGAGGGTGGGGATGTTAGTCTAGATATGGAAGACCCACTCTGACTGAGGTGTAAAGCAGGGGGTAATGGAGAAACGGGGGGTGTTCAGGGGCTGGGGAAGACTAGGGAAGCACCTGCAGCGCTGTCAGGAAGCCTATAGGGCAGAAGGGAAGTGAGGTGCTCTGGAGTGGGGAGATCCCTAGTAGGGTCAGGCTGGGTATGGGGGGAATGGGGTGCAGTAGGGCTGTCCTAGAGACCCTGAGTTGGGGCTACAGGGGAGGATGTGGGGTGGAGGGCCACCCACAGTGGGTTCATGCTCAGGAGGTGGATGGGGCCCTGCCTCACGGGGAGTGGCCAGCCTTGGGACTCGGATGTTTCTCCCCCCCATGCTGTTGTTTCCTCTGATGCAGTGGAGGGGAAAAGGCAGGTGCAGCCTCGGGAAGTGGGGTCCCCCCTGCACCTCACAGTCACGGCAGCAGCGCTGGTGTCCGTTCCTGGGAGGTGGCAGCTCCCGCTTTGGCATTTGGGTCCAGCTCTGGTTCTTGGAGCATTCGGTGTTGCTGGGGCCGTACCAGACATGCAGCAGCTCAGCCTGTGGCTTCGGGGCGGCCGCGATCTCTTCCCAAGACACCGTCTGTGCCCGCCGGTTCGGTTCCCAAAGACAGCGGCAGTCGCCGAGCTGCGGGCGGCGGGGGCTGCTCCTGCCGTCCGTCCCTGTCCTGGCGCCGCGCTGAGATCTCCCATCGACTTCCTCACACCCCTGGGTGGGGGTCGATGTCTTCACGTCCCGCCTCGATGGGGACACTTTACGTAGCCCCAGGCGTGTGCGGCGTGCCCGGCGGTTCCTGCAGTCTCTTACTCTCCTGAATTTCGCCCTCCTGCAGTCGTGGTGGGACAGGAGGCTGGTGAACCTGCTCGACAGTCCGTGCCGTTGGCTGTGCCGGTGGCGGGTCCGAGCGGCTGGTGGGATGGCAGGGGACAGCGGGGGACAGTGACTATCTTTAGAGCTGTGTTGCAATGGAGGGGTGTGCCTTGGCTCGGCGCTGCCGGCAGACGCCTCCTCGCCCGAGGATTGACTTACGCCGAGGCTCCCGCATGAGGAAAGTCAACACTTGGTCTGCGGTTTGTGTGAGCAGGAGGGGCTGTGATGGGCTGTGAGGCTGAGCCAAGGGTCGGACAGTATGGGGGCTGGTGTAAGTCACACATGCCCTGCATGAGGTCAGGCTGCGTGAGGTGTGCAGGACTGCGGTTTGGGGTGCACTGTCGACCCTCGGCACTGTCATGTGTCACACATGCTCTGCCACTGCCAGGCAGTGGGAACAGCTGAGCTGGAGCAAACAGCCAGCATGGGAAAGGTTGATGGTGCAGGGAATCTCTGCTGCCTCCTGGGAGAGAAGTTGCCCTGGAGCACAGGAACAAGTTGGGTTCTTGCAAGGTGCATCCCGGAATGTTCCCATCCCTGTGCTCCCTTCCAGAGGCTTAGCGGAAGCACAAATGAACCTGTAGGAGAGAGCCAGAGTCAGGTCTCTTTTCAGTCCTGTTTCTGCCAGAGTAACGTGGTTAGTCCATGGGAGCAACTTGCACCAGAGTTGGCACTGAGGCTTCATGTTCGGCTTAATCCTTCCTCTAAGCCATTGCCATGCTCATGGCCACTGTGCCTGTGGTGGTGCAGCTGCATGGTATGACTGTCTCTGAGAGAAGGCAGCTGAAACTTGTGGAACAATTTGCCTCCCCCCACAAGTATAGTTCCTCTCCCAGTTCCGGGGCCTGTGAAGACGTGGGTCTCCTCCAGCTCATGGTGCTGGCAGTCCCTCAGTTTCTCTGACAAAGTGGGGCACATGCTGCTTCTGCCTGTGGTGATGATAACGATGAATCAGCAGAAGCAAAAAGTTGATCTGTGCATCAAACTGCTTCCCATGGTTGTTCTCAACATGTTCTGTGGATGTGGGCCACTCCTGTCCCTTCACTTCACTTTTCCTTGTGCATAGGAGCAACTTGAGGCCTTTCCAAGAGGGCTTGAAACCTGGTGAGGAGAGAAAGTGCCTTCTCATCTGCAGCGGTGCTGCTGGGATGAGGCTCCCTCTTTCTGACGCGCAGCCTGGCAGCTGCTGGAATTGCCTGCAGCCGCATCGCTCCACACCGCAGGTCCCCCCCCAACCCCGGCTGGCGTGGTCCTTTCAGAGCCAATGGCAGGGAAAAGATTTCTCAGAGAAAAGGTAAAACATCAGATGTTTTCCAAGGAGGGCATTTTGGACTTATGTCACTGATTTAATATATAGCAAGGTTTTTCTGAGTTCCCTCCCCAGCTATTCCCTGGAGAGGAAGACAGGTTGCAGGTGGTCCCTGTCCTAGAGGGCAGGAATTGTCCCATCTCTGCTAAGCAGTGTTTCACCTTTTTGTTCACACCTGCAGGAAGAGGCTTGAGGCTGTGGTAGCTGGAAGTTTAGGGTCATAATTGGCTCTTGGCCACGTTGGATGCTGTGGTTGGAGGTGTGATTTGGGAAGGGGGAGGACTTGCCTATCGTTAGCCCAGAGGTGTCTCTCACTGAGCTGCCCAGAAAGGAGGGGGATGTCTTGGTTGTCCTTTTTATGAGTTTTGCTTCATGCAGTGATTTGTGAGCTCTGGGTGGGATTCCCCAGGAGGAGCTGCAGTTGGTTGTCCCTATTTAGCCTGGGACCAGCACCTGGAGGACGAGCAGTCTCACACAGCAGTAATCACAATGAGGCCATGACGGTTCAGGTCCCTCATACCATGATATTGGGACTTCGTCATGCCATCCCCTTCTGAGCTGGTGGGAACAGCCAGGGTGGGCTGGCTGGGGCTCTGGGGTCCGGCCAAAGCAGCCACCACAGCTGCCCATCTCTCCCCACTAGAGGCTGCTGATGACCAGAGCATTTTCCATTCCTGCTCTGAGAAAGCAGTGGGATTTGGAATTTGCAGGGCTGAGCATCCCGGCCTGAGCTTTTCCTGCTCATTCACCCTGGAGACAGCAGTGTGCTTTCCTTGGCAATCGCTGGGTTCAGGGGGCACATCTGCTCCCCTGCCAGGCTCACAATAGATCTCCCTACTTCATTAAGTCTTAATTAGGTAAATGCACTGGGCCCATGTGCAAGGCCATTGCCAAGGGACATGGATCATTCATGGAGC